TTTATCTGGTTCAGAATACATGGTTAGCCATACAATAACTATACAGATAAACAGTTTAAAATATTTAAGCAACAAGACTGATATATGATAATAAATTATTCTACCCTCATGAGTACTTTCTTCTTTTTCTTTGTTGTGGTTATTCCCAGAGTGTTGTTTCTCTGCATATTGGGTTTCTCAGTGCTTTTTGTAAGTCCTGTACTTGTGTTTCTTGCACTCCAGCGCCTACCTCCAAACAGCTCAACAGCTTGGGCCAAGGTTGGGCCTTCAAACCTGCCATCCTCCTACAAAAATTCTCGATGTTATAAAACAAAGGCTAGATAAATCACTATCAAAGAGCTCAAACATTTTTCTGGTGTAGGTACTATGAAGTAATGAAAGACAGTACATCATAGAAAGGCACCTTGTATTTATTGTACAAATATAATCAGTTTTTATAATTTAGTAATGATTAATAATTAATTACTAAATATAATTAGTTATTAGTAAACTCTTTTACTTATTATTCTTTTTCCCTTACCTCTCACTGCTCAGTATTTCAGGTCCTGTGTATGTATGGACATTGTTTTGTGTTTAGCCAAATACTAACCCCGGTGGCCTAATCATATATACAATTTTAGAGTGCCAAAAACATACCAGCTGAAACCTTTGATGAAATATAATATCAAAAGTTACAATTTCTATTCAATTACATTAGCTTTATGTTACTGTGACAATGCCAACTTCAGTGGTGTTACATAAAACAAAATCAGGTCTTTTATCTTTAATCTTAAACCACCTGTAACAGATACTGATATTCATATTGACAAACTGTTGGATCTTAGAAACTTCCATTTAGTTATCACAATACATTTTACCTGGTAAAGGCTGACATACTGTTTCCGTAGCCACTGCAATCTCTGATCAGGGAATTTCCTCATTTTTCTTATAGCTTTTGTTAATTCCAGCAATCCATCATATAGTATCTTGGCAGTATATTTGGGAGCCACAAAGTGCAGCAACTTATTATCAGTAGTCTGAAGTCCATACAGAAGTGTTACGCCATTCTCTTCAAGGGACATACCACAAAGTTTATTCTGAACACACATAGTGTGCATATCAATGCCAGGATGTCCCATGTACACAGCCTTTATTAAAAACATGTCCAGGGAACCTTCTACTAGTGCATTTAATCCAGTATTGCCAAGAAACTGAAATTTACCAAGCTCTGCAGTGCTAACTGGAATGCCCAGTTTTGCCTTGGTATTTGCAGGACAAGCTGTGGTGGGTTTTATCCAGGTCAAAGTACTATTGTCAGGCTGAAGCTGAAGAAAACAACGTGCTGAGAGATGCGTCTCCTGGTCATAATGTATGACAGTTGCCCCTTGTAGCATGAACTGATGGACATCGGCTCTGATGGATAACACATACCAGGGAATAAGCTCTATTCCATGGCTGAATGCTTTCTGCTGCTCTTCAGTTGTATTAGATTCCCACTCTTTCAGTTGCTCAAAAATGTCACTTTCTGAATCTGAGATATCTCCAATTATAAACCTGCACATGAAGTAAAATACAGTACTTACATTGTCCAGTTCTTGTACAAATACTGCATATGTAGTGGAGCATCTCATGTGTGCTGATGTACTTAATTGCTGATTAATACCTATTCTACTACAGTTCAGTTTCAAAAGAAGATGAACAGTACTGTACTGTTTGGGGATACTACTGTTTCTGTACTCAGAAGCTTTCACAATATTATATAATGTAATAAATAAATTATATCTATATATTATTTTAAGTTTGCACAAACTAATCAATTAATATATATATTCTTATAACTGATCTAAGAGTAATTCAGATAGGACATGGAAGTGTAAGTTAGTAATATTATTAATATTAATTATTTTTTCCAGGTTTATCCCCACACATTAAAGAAAACAATACATAAATAAGCATTAAAAGTAATTTATAATATATAACTTTTGCTGGGACTTAAAGAGACAGGAATGCTTGTTTCTGAATGACTCTGAACTTATGTAAGTTACTTAACCTCTTTGAGTCTTATTATCATTACAAATAGCAGCAAAAATATATCCCTTTCTCACAAGGGCGTTGTGAGATTAAATATTTAATATTTTCTTTCTAGAAGTGTAAAACACTATATAAATAACATACATTTTGAACCTGAAAATCTGTAGGTACCAGTATAAAAATATTTTTTTTTTAGCACTAAGCAACTGCAGAGCCGCAAGCTTTAAATTAACAAATATGGTTTATGAGAACAGAATGCACATATACAAAATCTCCTCCCTTCAGGAACTTCTTCAATCAACTTAAAACATCTACATGAATGCTGACAGATGTGGAGGAAAAATCCCCAGCCCTTTACCAGAAGAGGAATCGTATCAGTTTGACCTAGCTCCCCCAGTGTCTGTATAGCTCATGAGGTTCAGCCGGGCTTTTTGGTACTTAAATCTAATATTTTATTCAATCAGCTATTAGGCAAAAGTGCCAAAAAGCCACGCTGAAGTACATGAGCTATACAGACACTGGGCAAGCTGGGTCAAACTGACCTGATTCCCCTTCTGGACATGCGCTGCGCTTGGTGCAGTGGTGCACCAAGCTAAAAGTAAAGTGCTGTTTTGGGATTTTTTTTTCACGTCTGAAAGCATTTGGTGGGTACGTACAGATGTAATTAATACAATTTAGGGCATTTTAGTATTTAGTATAGCAGTAATAGATGTAAAAAAGCAATAAAAAAAAAAAGCTAAGCTCAGATCTTCAGCTAGTATAAATTGGGATTGGCTTCAATACACCTCACCCAATATCTGTATGTTAAAGTATTTACCAACACCATACTAGATTAACACTTTCACATTAAAAAAACCCCCTCTATACATAAACAAAAGAATATTTTCCAGATTTAACAAGACAGTGGCCCATAATAGACGAGAATAGCAGACCCTTATTCAGGCCTCGTGTCACATTTAATAGAATAGGAAGGGTTCAGATTTACAGGAAACAGCCAAGTGAAAGGCTGTCTCTTTTACACACACATACACATTTCCTCTATGACAACAGCTAGCTGAAGCATTATAGTTAGGAAGTTCTCAGAACAAACTTACAGAACTTGGTTTGACTCAGAAGCTTTCTTTACATGAGTTGTACTGAGTAGCATTAGGAATGAAAAAGGATAAAAGAAGAGGTTAGAACATAATGCAACAAAGCAACACATGAAAAGGAAAAACTCTAATTGGGATAGTTTGAAGGTGCAGATGGGACTGAACTATAGAAATAATGCAGCAAAGTTCAGAACCTGGTCACAAGCAGGTTTGTTAACAAGCCTTGGAAGAGTATATCTATTTTATCAGACCCCTAAGGGGAAGAGGATTTTCTTCATGCAAAATCAATGTAATTCTAAGACTCAAAATTCCCATTCTTGCTGTGGAGTTCACAAGTGAATGTGATCCTAGAAGCTGTAACACTTTCAAGGAACCATAATTAGAAGTGAATTTGTAATTTTCCTTCTCTAATGCTAGGTATTTTTTACAGATCCTTATTACTATATGCTGTTTTGCATGAGTTAATTAAATGAGAAGAAATCAAAATGAGATTCCATTTGAATTTATTCTTAGTTGGATTTTGACAACATATCAATGTCACAAGTTTGAAATGCTCTGAAATATAGAATCATTTTATGGTGGAAAAATATCCATCAGAGGAGTAAACAAGGTATTATATTAGAACAGCAATTTTATGTCTCAGTACTTATTTGAGCTTGCTTTATCACTTACAAAAGATGCTATAATAAAAATGAATCCTTAACATTTACTTGGCATGTCCAAAAACTCCTGGGGAGATAGAGGTGGGATATGTTGGGTGTGTGTGTGGGTGGGTGTGGGGTTTGTGGTTGTAGGGTTGGGAGTGGGTGGGGTTAGGGGTGTGGGGTTTGTGACAGTGCCTGTGGGTGGGGGTGAGTGTGGCAGTGTGTGAGTATGGGGGGAAATGTGGGGGTGGGAGTGTGTGTGGGGTTTGTGGGGAAGGTGTGTGTTTGGGATTTGTGGGTGGTCTGAGGTTTGGGGGGGCATCTGTGGGGGGATGTGGGAATGTGTGTGGATGGTTGTGAGCCCCCCTGCTACATGCCCCCCTATAGTGCACATCCCCTGCTGATGGCGGTGAAGCAGCAGGCGGCAGGCCCTTGGGGTGCTCATGGCCCAAGGTGGGCAGAGGCCTGCCGTGGCTCCAGCTGAGTTCCTGGAACTGCACGTGGTGACACAGAGCCCGCCTGGCGCAGGCAGCTGGCGTGTGCATTTGGGCCAAACCAGGCTGGCTTCATGCCACCACGTATAGTTCCTGGGACTCAGCTAGAGCCGCATGCCACTGGGCTGGGCTGGCTCCATGCCTCCACATGAGGCTTCCAGCACTTCAGTGTGGAGCCACACATGGAGGCACAGAGCCCACTCAGCTCAAAGGTGCATGGACCACAAGCCACAGGGAGTTTCTCACCATCAGGCT